CCTCCCTCCCTCCCTCTCTTCCTCCCTTCCTCCCTTCCTTCCTTCCTCTTCCTCCACCCTGCTACCATAAATACCCTAGATGAGAACAAATCTACTTGCATCTCCAAACACCTTACTTTTCACAACCCCATGCCTTTTTAAAAAAAATATATTTTATTGATTTTTTACAGAGAGGAAGGGAGAGGGATAGAGAGTTAGAAACATCAATGAGAGAGAAACATCGATCAGCTGCCTCCTGCACACTCCCTACTGAGGATGTGCCCACAACCAAGGTACATGCCCTTGACCGGAATCGAACCTGGGACCCTTGAGTCTGCAGGCCGATGCTCCATCCACTGAGCCAAACCAGCTAGGGCCACCTCGAGGATCTTAATAGCTGGAATCACACATCATGAACCTCTGGGGATGATCCTTCCCACTCAGCATCCTTCCCGAAGATCCATCCAAGATGTTGCCTGTATCCATAGTACGCCCATAATTTTTTTCTTCTGAGTCATAGCTTGTGGTGTGACTGGCCCACAGTCTGTTTCCCCGTCACCTGTTAAAGGACATCTGGTTGGTTCCAGTTTGGGGATTTTGCAAATACAGCTGCTATGAACACATGTACAGGTTTTTGCATGAACAGAAGTTTTCATTTCTCTGAGATAGATGCCCAAGAGTCTCTCTTAAATGATTTTTTCAGTTCCTTTTTTTCACAGAGAAATCCCGCCATTCGCTGTGCACACACCTCCTCTTTTAATCCCTACAGCACACCTGGCTATTCATTCCACAAAATCCTATTCAGCCTTACTGTGCACTGGACCCTGGAGACACCTGGGGGACCAAGTGAGGATGCACCCAGAAGGTACAGCACAAGGATGCTAGAGCTGTGATGGGAAGCCAGGTGGGGTGCCTGACCCAGCCTGGTGAGATTTGGGAGGACTTCCTGGAGGAAGAGGCAGCTGACCTGAGGCTTGATGGGTGAGTGAAGGTATACCTCGCACAACAGAGGGACCTGCATGTGTAAAGGGCCAGATGCAAGAAGAATAGCAGCAGTTCAGGAAGCCACGGGGAGATAGTGATTTGGGGGGTGTGGGCAGAGGGAAGGAAGGTGGGCAGGGCCCATGAGCAAAGAGGAGAATTTCACCCTCACATCCAGCCTGGAGGCCAGGTCTTGAAGACCAGAACAAAAAGATTCAGGCCAACATCAAAACAGCATGATGGCCCAACCCAGTTTGGTTCAGTGGATAGAGCATTGGCCTGCAGACCCGAAAGGTCCCGGGGGTCAATCCCCGTCAAGGGCACGTAGCTCGGTTGCAGGCTCCTTCCCAGCCCTGGCCCTGGTCAGGGCATGTGCAGGAGGCAACCAATCAATGTGTTTTTCATATTGATGTTTCTCTCTGTCTTTCCCTCTCTCTTCCACTCTCTCTAAAAATCAATGGAAAAATATCCTTGAGTGAGGATAAAAAACAACAACATGATGTTCTAGCCTCTCAGTCTCATATTAATATCTCCACAAACCTGGGTGTTTTGGGGAGCTATAATGTCCCCACGTAATTGGGGAGGACTGGGGCCTTCCAAGATATGGGCAGATGTCCCTCAGGGCAAAGAAGCCTTCAGCTTGCAGGGCTGTTTGGGAGCCGGCACTATGCTCCCCTCTCCCCAGCAAGCACATGCAGCCCCACCCACCAAGAGGTGGGGTCCCCCACACACACATACTTCCACTCCAGCTGTAGGATGTGACGGGATTCTGACAGCTCGGGGTGGGAAAGTGAGGCTTTGGGACTCCTGAGCCCAGGCCTCAGGAAGCATGCAGTTTCTGCCTCTTCTCCGCAGTTTCTGCCCAGGAATGTCTGATGTTCCTGCCGGCCATCCAGGAGGAAGCCCAAAGGCCTCCTAGGAGTGCACACTGGCCACTAGAGGGAAGCTTTCTCCCAACTTCCTGGCCCAGCCAACACCACATGGTCACAGCACCACCTGCTGGAGGCCCATCACCCCACAGAATAATAAGAGATGAATGGCTGCTGTTCTGAGACGCTCTGTCTGGGCCAGTTTGTTACACAGCCATCAATCCTGCCTCTTGCACAGCAGCCCATGCCCTGTGCCCCAGGGAGGTTTCCCAGCCTCCAGGTAGCAATAACAACAGCCTGTTCTGCCATTTTAAAATGCACAACGTGTTCACATTTAAACTTTTTTAGTTATTGGTTTTATTTTTTTAATGTTTTTTTTATTGATTTCAGAGAGAGGAAGGGAGAGGGAGAGATAGGAATATCAATGAGACAGAAATATTATCCATAGGCTGCCTCCTGCAGGACCCCTACTGGGGATTGGTGGGCTTTATTGATTGATTTGGGGGGGGGGTGGACATCAGTTTGTTGTTTCACGTATTTATGCATCTGTTGGTTGATTCTTTTTTTTAATATATACTTTATTGATTTTTACAGAGAGGAAGGGAGAGGCATAGAGAGTTAGAAACATGGATGAGAGAGAAACATCAATGAGCCGCCTCCTGCACACTCCCTACTGGGGATGTGCCCACAACCAAGGTACATGCCCTTGACTGGAATCGAACCTGGGACCCTTCAGTCGGCAGGCCGATGCTCTATCCACTGAGCCAAACCGGTTAGGGCTGCTGGTTGATTCTTCTATGTGCCCTCACCCAGGATTGAAATCCCAATCTGGACGTATTAGGGTGATCGCTGTAACCAACTCAGCTCCCTGGGCAGGGTGTGTTTGAATTTTAATATCGCTGACAATGGGATGAATCTTGCGATCGTACAGTTAACTGAGTGAAAACGTCTATTGGGGCTTCCTGGAAAGTTCCAGACGGTGCCAGTATCAAAGTATCTTCAGTGTCAGGACATGCAGAAATAATAATCACAACAGCAACAACTGCAAACATCACAGCCAATTTGTAACACGTTACAAGAGGACAAGACATTTTCACTAAGATTTCTTGGACAAAAAATGAAGATATTAATAACAGAATAACGGCAACTGCTGTTTAAGCAACACCTGTTCCAGAGGGGGGCCCACCTCGATTCCACCAGAGTCGGCTCATGCGAGCCCAGGAAGGCGTAGAGCAGCGGGTTCAGGGCGGAGTTGCTGTAGGACATGCAGTGCGCCCAGATCTTCAGCGCGTAAGCCGCGTAGCTGCGAGGGTGCCAGGAGCCCGACGGGCCCAGTGCCTGCAGCACCAGGAACACCTGGATGGGGCCCCAGCAGGTAGCGAAGAGCAGGACCACGGCCGCCACCAGCCTTGACACCTTGGCCCGCACAGCGTCCGCTCGCTCCGCCAGCATCTGCCCCTGGGGGTGCAGGGGGTGGGAGGAGGAGAGGCTGTGGGACCTTCCCTTAGAGCTGCCATCCTGGGCCCCTCAGATTCCCCTACTGGGTCACCCCCTCAGATTCCTCAGATGTGCCTCCCCACTCCCCACTGTGCCCATCCCAGCCTGGCTGCTCCTCCCACCCACCCAGCAGCTCACCTGCC